GCTGCATCCTTGCCCAAGAGAAGGCACCCCTCGAGATAAATGGCTATCAACTTGAAGAAGAAGACAGTTTCAAATACCTCGAAGCGAAGTTGCTGCTGAATAGACAGACTAAGAATGACATTGTCTGCCGAACTGACGCAGCTCGACAATATTTCTCTTTTTCTTAGGGTTTCCTAAGCAAATCTGCCAAACCTAAAAAACAAGTCGGCCTAGTAGTCATGCTGGTGGATTCTAGACGACTCCTTAAGAAATCCTGCTTGGGCAGTCAGCTTGCTGTTCCGCATTGGTGGATTCTATACGAGCGGTAAAGTTGGGTGGGTAAAATCGATCCAAGTGTGACTAAGTTCACGGTGCATGGCGTTGCGTTTGTAGGTCAGCTTGTAGAGCATTGGCTTCGCGTTAAGGCCTTCCCTACTATGCGGGTTCAAATGCCGTCAAAAGTCGCGAGTTCAACTTAAATTAAGCAAATCTGCCAAACCTCCTTAATAAAAATTTCTTGAATAATATATTTCGTTTTTTGATTTAAATGAATCTCAATGAGCAACCAGGTCACAGGGCAGTGATCCTTAAAAAATGCGTTGATCTCGCGATAAGTGTTTGAAACTTCAGATAGCTTAAAACCGAATAAACTTGCTACACTTGCGTTCTCAGTGCAGACGCAAATTGGGGGATTTGAAAATTCTCACAAACTGTACAAAAAGATAATTACTAAGAAAATGGCGTTCTTGTTTAAAATATCCAGAAAATTTTACAGTGTTGAAGCATATTTCATCCTGCATGCTTGCTGAAACCCTTCTTCGTTTGCTGCTATGGCAAGAGACACATCCAACAATACCGAAGAAACCAGTTACATGGATTTTGAAGATGACTGAACCCGAAGATATTTCATGCATACATCTCAGCTAAGATCCCAGACGGGGTAAGAATGATTGTGTGGTATGACTGGCTCTGGTGCTTTTTCCAAGCGAGAATCCGAAACAACCGATTAATAAACGCGCCTTTCTTTGATGAACGTTCATCTGACCACTAACGGAACTCATCTGTCCCGCTCTGCCATGGGTTTCGACAGAAACCCCGACAGCCGTAGCAGCTGGAAGTAAACAGACAGTATTGTTGACAATATTATCCGCCTATAATACCAGCTGCTACGACTGTCAAGGGCTCTGACGAGACCCAAGGCAGAGCGGGACAGATGACT